GAAAAAAAGTGTTCCACCGAAATGCATGGTGGGAATACAAACAATGGGGCGCCCCGTACGGATCTAAAAAACTTCTACCAAACTTTTGTTACCAAGTCGTCGTGTATTTAATTGTCATTTCTCAATTAAAAAATTGTACACAATTTTACAATTACCCAGACAGTGACATCGGTGAATACTTAACCCTGTCTCTTATACACATCTAGATGTGTATAAGAGACAGGACACAGATCGAAACAATTAAATATAAATTAGTACTATTCGTGGTCGAATATTTGAAGTAAGGCCTATGATCTCGTGATACTGGGTAGTGGTCCCAATATTTTTATTTTCAATTATTGATTCATTTTTGATGCACGATCAAACGCTAGGCCGGTTCAGTAAACTTTGTCAGTTTTTTTTTTTTTTTCCTCTCATTGTTTGAATAATGTATTCTGAATAAATATGTTGCATGTAAATAGGTAACATTAAAAGAGTGACGGAGCAGAGGTGTGTGCATGGAAAAATACTCCTCCCCGTCTCCTCCTCCAGGGCACCCGGCACAAAAAAATTACGCTAGATTAATACCCTACATTACCTCAACACCTTATTTTGCTGTCTCTTATACACATCTAGATGTGTATAAGAGACAGATTAAACTACTTTTGGCAATACTAGACATCCCGCCAGAATTTTCATTTATATACTGATCTCGAATTGAAGGCCCTCTTTAATTTGCAAAATTAGCATCGAAAAGAAGCCCATCTCGAAAAGAAGCCCATGGGCTTCTTTTCAAGATAGCTTAAGCTACTTTACGAGATAGTACAGTATACAATGTACAAATAATAATAATAACAATAATAACAATAATAATAATAATAATAATAATAATAATACAGTAATAATATATAAATGCATTACGCGCAAATAAACAAGGTCTCTAAATGGCGGCCAAATCCAAGTAAAACAAATGCAAGGTAAAAGTAATGAAAAAGCATTGCATCAACACTTCCATTATAATAAAAACATATATATTTCTACTTTTTCAGATAATTACTTGTACTTAATCTACATAGCAATTGGTATTTTAGGCGTAGCTTTATTGGTGATACTACTGTTATGTTGTTGCTACTGTAGAGGAAGGTTCGTCTGCCAAACATTGTCCTGTTTTTATAGGCCTAGTCAAACAAACCTTTCTAGTAAATACGGTTAAATTCGCATATTCTACAATTGATGGGCCCAATATAATATGTCATCACAAACCAAGCCTCTTTTTCCTTATCGGCACATCGTTTGCTGGTATAGCAATCACTACCAACCAGGATTCGAACCCAAGACCAGTGATGGCGCCAGGACCTGCCCGACGGAGGGGCTAAAGGCCCCGACGGGGGGGCTAATGGAGCGAATCGAGCCTCACTTGGCCGGGGGCCTGGGGCTGTCTAGGGCCCCGGTGGGGGTCCAGGGGGTGCCCCTGGAAGCCACTGACATTTGACGAATTATGGCGAATTTTTATTACTTATTTGATAGGCATCGAGCTAGTATAATATGACTTCATGTAGGCTATGTTTTCTAATGTCGAAATCAGCTTCCAAAACCAAAACATTTTGAATAAAACAAGAAACAAAGGGTATGCAATGTAACCATCTAATTTATTTTCAAATCCTCATTCTTGAAAGTGAAATTCTACATTTTGGAAATTTTGCATTTGTCAACGCTGTCAAGGTCGAGGTTGCTTCCCCTCACGATGTATTCCAAGCATCAGGAGGCTATCCAAAATAGCATTTGTCATAACACCATACCTTGAATATCCATTCAAGGTATTACGTAATATGCAGTTAGTAAATCACAAGCTTTCCTCTTATAATACACTCACATTTAAATTAACATAAAGTGTTTTTGATTATTTGTTGTAAAAGATAGTGAGACTTCTACATTTATCTGATATTAGCATGCCTAGCCGTATTATTTGCCATTTCTTTTGCTTCCGAAAATAGGCCAGATGATGATGCTTTGCATAACCCTGGAGGCAGAGCTGCTCAAAACGATTATGCACACCACAAGTACGTTTTTTTTTTGTTTTTTGTTTTTTATCCATTATCTACTTTAAAAAAAAGAAAATTCTATTTATATAAATCAATACTATATTTTATATTTCGTTATCTGTATATTATATGCATTTTGAAAGAGTTAAGCTTAATACATATTTTCGCAGCACTTTATTCTAATTGTCTAATTTCAGACACTTTTCAACATCTTCTAAAATCATCTGTACAGAATTGTATTTTTTTGCTCCTATTAACAAAAGGAACCTTTCCATTCGACTATATATATATATATATGTGTGTGTGTGTGTGTGTGTGTGTGTGTGTGTGTGTGTGTGTGTGTGTGTGTGTGGATGTGTGTGTGCGTATGTGTGTATGTTACGCTGGCGTTTGTAAACAGACAAACATGACTTTCCAGACATATATTTTCGTTGTGAATTTTTTTACCCAAGCTAAACTTGATATGACCTCTTGCCCTATTTATTAATTTTATACTTTGACAATCATTAATGCCATAAATAGTGACAGACAAGACACCAAATCCTATGGAAAGACAAAACAATTTTTGAATTGAATTGAATTTATTTGGTTCTAATAAACCATTTAGTGATGATGATGACTTTCGATGTCGCCAAAGCTGTCTAAAATGTATGGATGGGACTCTATCTTATATCTTATTTCGAAGCCTAGCTAATGCGGTACAGTCAGAAAACTTTACCTACAAAATATTGCAAAACAATTAGATACTGTTTCGTCATAAAACAAAAACAAAAACAAAAAAAAAAACAAAAAACCTATGAACATTTGTTATTAATGCTTCGAAGTCTCATTTTATTGTTGAATGGTTGGTTGAGAATTACTTAAAAAAAAAAAAGAGAAAAAAAAAACTGGGTTCTACCGAAACACTAGGTATCGCGTGTAATTATTTTGTTTTGTTTCAAGCAAGTTTTTCGGAGCAATAAAAATCCAACCGTATGCGTGAGGCGACCGGAGTTGTGTCCAGATATTGTGACTAAGTTCGTTTTTCTAATCAAATAGGCCCTACGTTTACCACAGGGAGTTTGTGTCGTTTTTCCCCAAACCAAGAAACTTAACAACTTGTGTTGAGATTTTTTAATTAACCATTTAAAAAAAAATGAATATTGCACTTGCTATATTTGTTAAATTCCCCGGATCTAAAAACACTTTTTTCTTAAGATGTTTAACGGTTAAGAAAAATAATAAAACTAATTCACTCAGTTTTGTATTGATGTTTTTTGGTCATGAATGAAAATATACTGCTTGAAATAGGCATCATACCGTGTTGCCATTACTGCAAGTTGCCTAGTAACAGTGAATTTAGTGAGAAACTGGTATATGGTATACTGGAACGAAGAAGCAGACACAAGGTCAGATTCTTCGTAGGCCTACGCCGCCAGTTCAGAAAAGTAGACGCACTACTACTACTGCATGCTGAAAGGATCGGAGAGAATAGGCGACTGGCTTGTTCTGTATAATGCGATGGTTCACAGTGAACGGATTTCGCCTATTATTTAGCGAAGCGTTGCTTTCTTGTATAAATTACGTTTACATGCCATTTTAATTCAGTCATTATTCATCACGATAATCATTAACTTTGTTGATATCTGTAACTGTATATAGTTTATATTTGCTTTCTTTCTGTTGTGTGTAATATTGTTACTTTCTTTTCTTGTCTTCCTTGTTTCGATACATTATTATCCAGATGCGAATGGTCGTATTTGGCAACTAGAACAGTTCAATTTTCTTTTTTTTCTTTTTTTTTTTATAATTTGATTAAAACATCTTTACAGGATAACATAATCTGCGGTGAACTGTTTTACATTATGGTCCTGTTTTGCAGATTAAAATCACAATAAAATGAAAGATTTATAACATTTAAAAAACAGTACGACTGTTGATTAACAATTAACGTAACCATGGCGACGTGTACCTCTACTGTTATTTTCTCAAAAAATACGATGTGTTAAAAGCATGGTATTAAAAGTCATTGATTTTAGAGCAAGGTATTTCGTATTTAAATTATGATTCTAAAGTGTACAAAATCATTGAAATACGGCGCTTAATGTGGCAGCCAGCAGACAGTCAGTGCTGGTCCTAAAACAATACGCGACACCGACCGTTCAGTAGAAGTTTGTTTTGTAAATAATTCTCAACAAACAGTCAGTGCAACACGTAGATATCAAATACAAAATTCAATGTTTTTCGCTAATTTGCGAGGGAGAGGGGTGGTAGCCAAACCCCGTTGTGCCAACCCCCTTTTTAAACATTTAAAAAAATTAAAATGTATAAAACAATAAGCGTAACATTGCAAATATAGGCCTATGTAAAAAATGTTAATATGAACCACTGTCCCCGTCGTTTTTTTCACATTTTATGACCTATATTTATATTTTATGTAATTTTATAATTATTACCTCCGCCAGGAGGACATGTAATTACTGCTGGTAAATTGTCTGTCTGTCGCGCTTCCGAGATGTCTTTCAGTCTGTCTGTAAGCAAGTTTACGCAAAAACTAATGAATGGATCATCATACAATTATTTAGTGGAATGGTACATAATAATCAAAGACACCATTTAAATTTGGGAACATGTGAAAGGACAAGGTCAAGGTCACTAAAATTTATTATTTTAACCCTCGAGCATAAAAGAAAATAATGGAATCGCCCTCGTATTCAGGCAGAACTCAGGGAAACAATGTGTCTGAATACGACGTGCGATTTTATTATTTCATTGAGGGTATGCTGCAGTTTCACTCCCAAACATACAAGGCCTTCGTATTGTTGGTAGTGTAATTAAGCACAGGGTACAGGTATGTACTCTATGGAGTGACTGCTCTAGTTTTTATGTAATTAAATTTTATGTTATATTCTTTTTAATATATCATTTCAGTTAGTTTTCTTACTAATGATTTTTTCTATTTTTTTTTCTTATTTCAGTCCTATCTATGACAATCGCCAATAATCAAAGCTAGCGTAGTGCTGATGCTCTGCAGAAAAATGACGATGAAACATCTTCAAAGTGTTTAATATTTCACATTCACTTTTTTAAATCTGTTGAAAAATATAATAATTTGAAAAATTTAGATACTGAACCCACCATGAAAGTGCTGGACATGTAAAATTGACCAATTACAACATTAGAGATGTCCTACAAACAAGTTTTACGTACGTTTTTGCTGCTGTCTTGTGGGATCTTAGCAACAATATCCAATGGGGCGGGGCTTAGCGGAACGGTTCATTATAACTTTTTCAACATGAATAATGCAATTATTAATTAATAAAAGAAATTGGATTGCACAATATTTTCAAATAAAAAAAGCCATTCCTAAAATTTGGCTGAACATATTGAAAAGTGACAAACATAATGTAAATGGTAATGAGACACATGCTGAACCCAGTATTTATATAGAGGAATCAAACAAATACATAAATATGGAAAAAATTAGCACTAAAGAGTGTAGACAATACTTAGTTTTAAAAAAATCAATAAAACCAAAATGTGAAGCTAAATGGAATGAGATATTTACAGATAATAATATTGATTGGGAGAAAGTATGGACAAGACAAGTTAAAGAAATAAAGACTCCAAAAATAGCTGAATTTAACTTCAAATTATTACATAGAATTTTACCAACTAAGAAAAGGTTATATCAATGGAAATTAGGTGATTCACCATTGTGTGTACATTGTGCAACGATTGCTGATGAAAAACACATGTTAATGACGTGTAAAAGTCTAGGAAACTATTGGAATAATGTTGCATCTATATTCAAAATTAAGATTAATATTACTTTCAAAAATGTTGTATTAGGTATAGCAAAACAAAACAACATCACAAATGAATTAATTGCAAAAGCAGCTTATACAATTTATACAAACTGGTTATACCCAGTAACAACAGATCCATGGGTCTTATTTTGCAAATGCAATTCAAGTGTGAAAAGTCAATATGATATTGAAGCTATATACATTCAGATGATAAACATAGGCAAAGATGGATTGATATACGCACTCAATAAACAAAAAACAATGTACACCTTTTATGGTTTTATTGTATTCAGAAGTCGACTGTGGTTCGATGAACTGATTGATGAATGATTATTGTTGTTAATTCATGAAATATTACTATTGATATATTCCAATTTCAATATGGTATAATTAGTTTTTCATAGCATTCTGCACATCTTGGATTGTAATAATGAGCCATAAAGAAATAAGAGTACCAATCCGATCATTGATGAACTGTAATCATGTATGTGTTTATGTAAGTGTATGCATCTATATGCATGTGCGCGTGTATGTATGTATATATATACGTATATTTATATATATATATATATATATATATATATATATGCATTTGTGTATGTATGTAGGTGACAGTATATATATATATTATGAATTATATCACGGTACATTGAAGAGATGAACCGTCAGATACGTTGATTTGAAAGAAACAAAAAATTAAGGGAAAAAAGTAAAAAATATTTAAGCAAGTTTGTATTAATATTCAAATTTTTTGATTCGAAATATTATAATGAAAATAATGTTAAACTACGAAATACATTATTATTATTCAATGGCCTTTATTACCAGTATGTCATTATTTCATGTGTAGAAAAAAAGAAAAAAAAAATGTTATTAAATTAAGAAAAGAGAAATGAAATAAAAGTGGGTGCAACTCCCACAAAAGAGAGAGAGAAAAAAAACTTTTTCAACATTATAAGCACCACTGATTATGATGTTATTTTACTATTATTTACCTTTGTTACAGGAGCTTTAATTTGAAGAATTGCTTTATGATTTATCAGACTTAATTGAACGTTTTGTGATATATGTTGTTTGTGTTATTTTACTTTGTTTAAATGACCATACTGTTTTATGCAGTCAATAAAAGAATTGATAATTGGTATTTTTCTTTCGTATCATCAAGTTTAAATGAAATTCAGATGGTTAGTAACACATTGCAGTAC